TGTGAGAACCAAGAGAGGAGCTGATATAGCCTCAGATCACCATTTGCTGATCGCCTAAATGAAACTGAAGCTAAAGAAGCACTGGAAAACGGGGCAGACGACATCACACAAGTTTAATACGGCCTTTCTTCGGGATACCGTAAAACTCAACGAATTCAAGATAACCCTCACCAATAGGTTCCAGGCCTTTCAGGATCTACTCAATGGAGAGGAAGCAATATTGGAGTACAATTGGAAAGGGATTAAGGAGGCAATCACTTCAACATGTCACGAAGTTCTGGGTCACAAGAAGTACCATCACAAGGAATGGATCTCTGTTGATACTCTTGCAAAAATTGAAGAAAGGAGGAACAAGAAGGCAGCAGTGAATGTCAGCCGAACAAGAGCAGAGAAAGTTAAGGCGCAAGCCGAGTATACAGAAGCAAACAGGGAAGTGAAGAAGAGCATCAGAGCTGACAAACGAAAATACGTGGAAGATCTAGCAATGACGGCGGGAAAGGCTGCAAGAGAAGGAAACTTGAGACAATTGTACGAAACAACAAAGAAGCTCGCCGGAAACTATCGTAAACCAGAACGACCAGTGAAAAGCAAGGAAGGGAAAATAATCAGCAACACTGAAGAACAGCGAAATAGGTGGGTAGAGCACTTTAAGGAACTCTTGTATCGACCAGCTCCACTGAATTCACCCGACATCGAAGCAGCATCTATGGACTTCTCAATCGATGTTGGCACACTTACGATTGAAGAGATCACTATGGCCATTAGACAAACCACCACTTTTCATCAACTTCATCGACTACGAGAAAGCATTCGATAGCGTGGATAGGAAAACATTATGGAGGCTTCTTCAACACTACAGTGTGTCTGATAAGATAGTCAACATCTTAAGGAATTCTTACGATGGATTAAACTGCAAAGTCATGCAGGGAGGTCAGCTGACAAACTCGTTTGAGGTAAAGACCGGTGTCAGGCAAGGTAGTTTACTCTCACCCTTTCTCTTTCTCCGGGTGATCGACTTGGTTATGAAGACGTCAACATCTGGAGGGAAGCACGGCATTCAGTGGACAGTTAGGACGCAGCTAGACGACTTGGACTTTGCAGATGACCTGGCTCTTCCGTCGCACGCTTGACAACAAATGCAAGAAAAGACGACCAGTGTAGCAGCAGCCTCTGCAGCAGTAGGTCTCAACATACATAAGCAGAAAAGTAAGATTCTACGATACAACACAACATGCACCAACCAAATCACTCTTGATGGAAATGCCTTGGAGGACGTTAACACCTTTACATATCTTGGCAGCATCATCGACGAGAAAGGTGGATCCGATGCAGATGTGAGGGCACGGATTGGCAAAGCAAGGTCTGCATTTCTACAGTTGAAAAATATCTGGAACTCCAAACAACTTTCAACCGAAACCAAAATCAGGATTTTCAATACAAATGTGGAGACAGCTCTACTGTATGGAGCGTAAACTTGGAGAACTACCAAAACCATCATTCATAAGATACAAGTATTTATGAACAGTTGTCTATGCAAGATACTTCGGATTCGTTGGCCAGACACCATCAGCAACAACTTACTGTGGGAGAGAACAAACCAGATTCCAGTGTAGGAGGAAATGAGGAAGAAGCGGTGGAAGTGGATAAGACACACACTGCGGAAAGCACCTAAATGCGTCACGAGACAAACCCTCACTTGGAAACCATATAGAACAATATATTGAATACTGTCTGGTTGTAAGCGGTAATTCTAGTTGTGCGGTACAGTTGTTTAGATCGGATCTTGCAATTTTTGTTTTTAATGGGAATACCCCTTCATGTTTATTTTCTAAACTTTTTTACACACTGAGTTCCTTTGCTTTAAATTTGTTTTAAACAATTTTACTTCTACATAACTACTGGTTGGCTTAGGAATCTGTAGTCATTGTGGTTTAAAATAATTCAGCCTGATCTTTAAGAGAAAGCACATTTCGACTAAATGGGGCCAGAAAAATAACGGAATATTTCAAGAGGCGTCCTTTCTCGGTCCTTATTTAACGCAAATACACGTACCGGTGTGTTTTATTGTCTGTTGATCATTGTATATAATAGACAAAACGTTAATAGTTGAATACATTTTGCATTCTTCTTATGCGTTTTCGATTTTTTCAGTTCTTTTTAAGGTTCACTACAATTGTTTGACACAATAGTTTTAACACAATAGTCTGTGATATTCTTATCGAAACTATGATTTATAGACGAACCAGGTGGATTCAGGAAAACGAGTGGTGAAAACCCTAATTTTTATTCTCAACCGTAGATTGTAAATTATCAATCCTAATTCCTCGCGTTAATTTACAACCTTCTTTGAAAATTAATTAGTACGTGAGTCCTCTCGACGTCACTAGTATTGCTCAAAGGTTGTTCACCAGTTATAGTCTCACCTTTTAAGTCATACACAACTAATGTTTTGTCTTTTATGAGAGGATTTTTCTCGGCGTCTTGGTCCCATTCATATTGACATTATCTTGAACATTTGTTGCAGTCATTTTATGATTCTGATTAGAGTAGTAGATTCATATCTCTTGTTGCTAAGGCATCCTTTCGGTTCAGATGTCTTCCTATTTATGACAATCTCCACAAAATTCTATTTCCCGTTTCATTTCTGTTTGCTAGGCCTAATAAAGAAACAGTTTCATACGGTATTTAATAATTTGACCAACTAAGTAGTATCATTAGGCTTCAAAGTATATCTCAAGACTAAGTTCGCTAATCTATCTATTAGGCTATAATAAGTCAACCTGTGTAGCATGAAAATGCTATAATTTTCGGGTTGAAAACTACTAGGTAGTCTGAGTGGCTCAGCTCTAAAACGATTCTCATACTGTGGATGCTGCTGCAATAAGTGTCATAAACCAGTCATTGATAATGTAATCTTGGTCATTCGTCTGATGACAACAAATGATTTGCTGTTATACTAATTTGTTGAATATTTCATTCATATAATTTCTTTGTTAACTGACATAATAAATCGATAGAAAAGGCGTTTTATTCTGCGTGATATTTTCGGTCCCGACCGTAGCTGCTACCTTGATGTGGTGGTCGGGCTTGTCTATCTTGATAACCCAACCGTGCTATATTCGCAGGAACATGTGTTTTTGTACGTCCTACCATGCCAGACAGGTCGAATGGTAAACGGCGAAACTGAGAGCATCTACTCAAGGTTTGAGGGCGAAGTCGCACTGCTGACTGCAGAGGAGTGTGACAGCAGTAAGGTGTTTCCCTCACACAACCAGCATATGCAGCGGTGCTGCCTTCTCACAAGGAAGAAAGGGTTAGAAAAGGTCGACCCTAAAAATGTCACACCTCACCTTACCTCACGGATTTCCGTCTCCATCGGTAAGGGCTACCCAATAAGAGCTCTAAAACGAGCGCATCTAATACTCAAAAAACCTCTCATAAAAAGACTGTGAGTGACCGGCCTCAAGCAGTTCTACCTTGGACTCTGCGGTCACGCTCCCAGGTCTCTAAGACCGACACTAATCTACCTTTTCAGGTTCTTCAAGAAACACCCTTCCACGGGAAAGCAGCCTGAAAGTGACAACTGCCCTCACACCCGTAACAGCACACGAGACCAAATTGGTCTTATCTCCACGACTAACTCTACTCACATTCCTTTATCACCCCGCACCGCTGATGCAAACGATGCGAGTTCACAAAACGTTATTCTTGGTCTCCTGAAACCCCGTTCTAGACTACATGTTGGAGCTCTTAATGTACGGACATTGTGTCAAATAGGGCAACAGGCTTCGTTAGCTAGAACATTGGAATCTCGCTCAATTGATGTATGCTGCGTCTCGGAAACGCACATACAGGATCCTAGTAAAATTATTAATTTGATTTCACCTTGTCCAGATAAAGAAGCGGCTCAATTTACTCTTCGTGTATCTGGTAGCCCTGATACTGCTTCCCGGGGTCTCGCTGGTGTAGGTATGGCATTGAGTCGTAGAGCTGAATTATCTCTCTTAGACTGGATCCCAGTAGACACGCTCGTGCGCTGTCCGACTGAACGGGACAGTAGGGACTCGGAAAGATAGGGACACTCGCCGCTGCGTAGGCGAGATATCCGTTTGCTGACTAAAGGACGAGTGTACTGTGCAGCAGTTCGCTCAGTCCTACTATATGGATGGGAAACATGGCCGTTAGGAGTATAGGACATTCGTAGATTGCTTCTCTTCGGTCATAGGTGTGTCCGACGTATTGTTCGTGTATCGTGGGACAGCCAAGTAAGCAATGCAGTTGTTAGGAATCGAGTAGTAGGTAGGGATGGCAAATCAATAGATGAAGTATTGAAACTTCATCAGTTGAGGTGGTTGGGACGTGTGTTGTGTATGTCTAACCAACGACTGCCTCGACGATCTATGATTTGTGGTGTAGGAGTTGGTTGGAAGAAAGTTAGGGGCGGCGAAACCAAAACATGGCAAAAATCCATGAAATCACTGACAAGTGGACTGAGTCATGTTGGTAGATGTAGGCTTCCTGGTTGGGGTCCGCAAGACGGAAGTCAACAATGGTTAGAGATCTTGGACGACATGGCTCAAAATCGTTTGCAATTTTACAGGTGCATCCACTCTTTGTGCTCTCTCAGATTCTAAAAATCTGAATTCCCCATAATCTCTACCTTTCTCCTTCTAAATTTATCTCACTAAATTATACTTTTCGAATCATATCTTCTCTCCCTAATCTTCTCCATTGCTGCTAATAGTTCTACTATGGCTATCACTCTTGGATTTGAACTGACAGTTGCGTCTCTGTGCTGACGTGGTATGGCAACCTGAACTTATGTACATACGTACGAAGTTATGTGTTGTATCTGTCTGTCTGTCTGTCTGGTATTTTCGGTTGTGGTTTAAGTATTGTTGAAAATTGCTCAATTCGTCATAACAATGCTTTAACCTCACTGTTACTTTTGAACTTTAAAAGTTTTATTCCTTGTCATTCATTTTCTATTCCATATTTTAGAATTCAAACGATGTTTTTACTTTGAACACCGATTAGTGTGAAGAGAGTGCTCAAAATGTCAGCTTCTATTGATCAAATATCTCGCACTGGCTTGTTAGACTTACCTTGTCATCGTTTACTTGAAGTTCATTGTCTCAAGTTGAGAAAACCTCCTGTTTGCTTAAGTCCAGTGGCGAAAATGCACATTGTTAACTACACATTGAATATTATAAAAAATCTTTGTGATGCTACTGTTCCTAGTTGTATTGGTGATATTGTAGAACGAATAGATTACTGTTTTCCAGAGAAACTTAAACCCTCTCCTCAATTTTTGGATGAGGTTCAATCGCAAATTGATAAAGGCAAAAAGAAAACATTGTATATTTCTGCTGATAAAGCATTTTCTTGTTTCAAGGTAACTATAATTTGTCTAAGTCTGTTTACATTTTCAGCTAGTATTCCCACGCATGGAACCAACTGTGTCCTTGTTCCTGACACATCTAATGGAACACATTATGGGTCAAATCGTTCAGGTAATGTAGTATCAGTAACCGACGATTTATTAGTGGGCTGTAAATTACGAGTCGAAAATTCAGTCAGGATACATTGAGGCTACAGATGTCCATGTAAGTGTGTAGAAAAGTGGTACATAGTTTTGTCCAATGTAATGGAGGTTACAAATTCGGCATAAGAGGTCGCATGAATCTTAAGTAACTAATAAGTGTGGATATGAATGACTATCCCCTCAACTATTGGTACATCTTTTCGGAAAATACACACTCTTATTTCTATTGACATTAGCTTATTTCTTGTTCCCTACATATAGCTTAATGATCGTAATGGAATTCCTATTGAAAAAGGAAATGCTGTATTAAGATGTTGTCGATATTTTTTTAAAATTTCACAGAATTTACCAGTATGAAGAAAACAAGATTTAGCTAATGTAAACGTTTATCAGAACTCTTTAGTCACTTTGAAACCATCATTAAGTAGGGCTTTTGATATTAAAAAAAGTAATGTTTATGTGTACCGCTAGACAGGTATTGTGAAAATGTATGCCTAACCGCCGACTACCTTGATAAGTAATGTTGTTCGATGCAAGAGTAAGCTAGAGGAAAGCTGGGGGCGACTTAACTAATGCACGTCACGAATCCATGAAGTCATTGCCTACTGGACTGAGCCATGTTAGTAGGTGAAGACTACCTGATTAGGGTTCGCGAGATAATCGTAACTGGTGGTTAAACGCTGGATGACATGGTTCAAAACCGTTTGCGATAGCGCAGATGCATGCACTTTTCTTCTCTCTAATTCTCATCTTTTGAATTCTTCACCACTTCGTTTTTTTTCACTGGGTTATACCTCTGGAATCATATCTTCGATCCCCAATCTTTTGCATTACCTCTGATACTGCTATAGCCATTAATACTATAGGATTCGGACTGACGATGCTATATCTCTGTACAAATGTGGCATGAAAACTTGAACTGATGTACATACGTACCAAGTTCTACGTTGTTGCTGACCGACTTACTGACTCTCGGTACTCCAAACTGGCTGTATTAACTAGAATGTACTTGTTACAATACCTGTTAGTCGTGGATCGTTGTACGCTAGTTACTGATTAACATATTTGAAATTATTTTCTCTTCTTAACACAAAAATGTTGCTTCAAGACTGGTCCTCAACTCCAGAACTAATATCTGTGGGTGTTGATCATTTCACTTATAAATCTCGGCACAAGTCCAAAGGCTCGTTCGGATTTTACCATGTTGTTCCGCTCGTGTTGTGAACTAGATGTTCGTCTACCAACCAAAAAACAGGTATTTTGCCCATTCATTCTCTCTGCTTTGCTTTATGGCTACAAAACGTGGCCTTCAAAAAATCGGGTATTTATGGCTACTAGTATTTGACCATAAGGGCTTTCAAACAATTACTCTGATATTTCAGTTACTCAGTCAAACGTAAAACCTGATACATGTGTGCATCAGTCCAAGTAGCCATGTCCCATTAGCACATTGACATGGAATTACCAGGACGAATCCTACAGTAGTGAAGGTAGTGACATTATTAACAGTGCTGAAAAGAATTAGCTATCGAAGGCAACATTTGTAAAAATATAAACTAGTAGACTGAATTCCCAACCGTAGCTATTCCATTAATGTTGTGGTCCGGATTGTCTATTGGGATGACCCAACCGATCTATATTAGCTGGTATATATGTTCCTTTAGGTTCTATCTCGCTAGGCAGGCTGATTGAAGAACAATAAAACTAAAAGCAGCAACTCAGGGTCTGAGGGCGAAGTCGTGCTGCTGATTTTAGAGGGATGTGACAGCAGTAAGTCGTTTCCCTCAGGCAACCAGCATCTCAAGGAAGGAGGGGCTTAAGGAACGGCGACCCTAAAAATGTCACACCTCACCTTCCCTCACGGATTTCCGTCTCCGGCGGTAAGGCTTTTTAAACAAGAGCGAAGCTAACACTTCACAAACTTCCCATGAGAAGGCCGTGTTTGACCGGCCTCAAGTAGTTATCCCTTGGTCTCTCCTATCACGCTCCAACGCTAATCCTATTTCCTTTTCTGGTTCCTTATGAAGCATCCTTCCACAGTGTGGGCAGCCGGCACGTGACATCTGTTCTCATACCCGTAGCAGCGCACGAGACCAAACTGGTCACAATCAAATCTTCCCTACACCTCCCACTTTCTTATCTCCACGACTAACCCTTCTCATATTCCTCTATCACCTCGCGCCGCTAATGCAAACGATTCGAGTTCTCGAAACGTTATTCCTGGTCTCTGGAAACCTCGTTCTACAAATAAAAATAAAATAAAAATAAAACATTTGATAAGAACATCATATTTTATCTGAGGGAAAACAAAAGGTGAATGCACCTGGGCCACTACGGACGATTTTATGCTATATCATTTAAAGTCTAATCATTGATTACGACAATTACGTGGACCATAAGCAGGTAATCTGCACAGTCCTACATGACTCATTTCAACAGGCAATGTCTTCATGGACTGATACAATGTCTTGGTTTGGTAGCCCCTACCTTCCTTCTAAATCGCTCTGACTCAATCCATCATTACTCTCCTAGGTAGTCGGTGGATAAGCATATGTAGAGCACAAAAATTCACTACCTCCACAATTCATTTGCCTTTCTTGCCTAGTATTCTGCGTCTAACCTTAGAATTGTTAACTCCGTGGTCCCCAAATATACCAGCAATAGTTTGAAGAGACCTATAATCAAATACTAGTAACCTACGGATATCCTTTAGTTTTGAAGGCCATCTTTCACACCCATAACGTAAACCAGAGCAAAATTTTACTTAGTAAACTCACTGTTTAGTCGGCAGATGGATATCTTGCCTATCGTACAAGTGATGTAGGCTGGCAAAAGTAAACCGGGCATCATGTGGTAAAAATGCGATCACTGATTAGACTTTAGATGAAATAACTTAAAATCATTCCTATTGTGTAGGTACATTCATTCTGTATTCCTTTAAATCCTTAGTTTCTGAGTTACCGTATAATGTTTTTATCCTACAAGCCTATGGTTTCCAGAATAATATTCTTTATTTCTAGTCTTTTTTATTGTCACTAATACTGTTACCACTTATAATACTCTGGCACTTCGTTATTCTGATGTGGTGTGACAGTTTGAACCGATGTTTATGTCCCAGCTTCTACGTTGTTTATGAATAACTGACTGACTAATTAGTCATGGGGTTTTAAAGTTTTCATTTACTCTTCTAGATATCATTTAGATTAGTTTGTATAAATTCTAGCCTAAATTTTAGCGTTTCCAAATGTTTTACTTCATTTTGTGTAGCATATTTTCCGTTTATTTGGAGCACCAAAACCGTCAAAATCACCAGTTTGTTATTCCCTTTCGCTCCTACCTAGAAAGTCTGCAGATTACAAGGATTATGCAAAAGAGATTCAATATTTGTTACGACTCAGTGTTCAGCATCTTGGAATCGTTGTACGCATTTTTGGTGACTTACTTATAGAAGAGCTATCGCATATTCAGGTTGTTACGGAATCACTTCTCACTGAATGTGAAGATACCCGTAATATTAACGTGACAGCTCGACGTCTACTAGATGCTATTAAATCTGCTCAGCTTGTTTTTGATCGTGCTTCAGAAGTGTATAGTCACGTAACTGTACTAAGTGAATGTATCGATGATGCTTTTGAGGACCAAACCCGTCTAATTGGTTCATGTTTGATAGTAAGTTATTTCAGTAGATTGAAATTCGCTAATTAAAACTTTAATCAGCTTGAAGTTTACGTTTATTTATCTTGCTAGTTGAGTTATCTTACTTAAAAAATCAGTGGTCTACCCTTTCGAAATATGGTGTATTAAATATAAATAGTCCATTAAGCATTATGCATGATTGTTTTTTTATGTCCATATTCATTCCCGATCAATTTTATCTTGACTGTTATTGAGTTGATGTATACTCATATTCCCCAATATTTTAACGAAAAGTTTGTGCGAAATTACACGCCTAGTAAAAAATATTATTTATGATAATTACATTTGGAATAATCTCAGTGATTGGAATTGAAATAATTCCAATGTTTCGTCCGGCAATCTTGTTCGGACTTCTTCAAGGTAATAATAATAATAATAATCAAAATTATCGAAAAATATAAAATCTTTAGCAATCAAATACACTAAGTGTTCATCCAATCATATTCAAGCGTTAAATCTAGCATATCAAAGAACATGAGTCAAATAAGACATGAATTGTGTGAAAAATAGATGATGGTGTGCACGTGTATTTGTAGATTTATGTTATGAATAGATGTATTCGGTAAATTCAAGCGTTTGTTTATTAAATGTAAACCATAAAAGTGTAAATGTTTTTAAAAGTTGAATGTGTCTGTGAGTTGAGAATACCATTTATATAGTTGTGATGTTAACATATTCAACTTCATTACTGTCCGATCAACGCTGCATATAAACACTAAACAGGGTGGATAGAGGTAAAGTCCAATTATTTCTAAATGCTCGTTTGCCATGAGGTGGCTAATTCAAACCGTATTTTCTTTTTAGGCTGTTCTGACTAGTCTATAAATACATGTTATCAATCTTTCTTCATGTGCTACAAACCCTTTTTAAAGCTTTTTGCTCCCAGCAAAATTGATCTTGTGTCCTGTTTTTTTACTCATCTAACGCCATTGCGGATTTATTTTCCAGTTTCCTGAGATCGACCGAAGTTTTAGGATCATGTTTCAAACATAGTTTGTGTTCCTTTAAACTCTCGTTCAACTGTTTAGATGTTTCTTCTACATAAATTACATTACAATCCTGAAAGCTGATCTCATAGACAACGTTCTGTTTTACTTCCTTTGGAAGTGTATCCTTAACTTTCACTAACATCGAGCTTATGGTATCACTAGCACGAAACTATACTCTCATATTATGCTTGTTGAGAACCCTCTTAATTCGTTGTGATATTTCTTTACGGTACGGGATTACCACGGTGTTTTTCTATTCTCTCAGTGTAAACTGTAATTTAGTTTTTTCTTTCATCTTTAATAATCTTTAAAAAATCTTTAGGGTAATTGTTGGCCCTAAGTGTAGATAAAATTAAATTCATTCGTCTGGTCTTCTATATAATTATAACTTCTGTTAATTACGTTTTTTAACAATCTGAATGCATAAGATGAACACTAATCTAAGTATCGCTTTATGTCTTCTTTCAACCAAATAATCAAGAAATGCAAGCTTACGACCAGTGGATTCTATCTGTATGTTTAGTTTAATACTTTCCGAAGTGTTGTTTATATTTCTACCATACTTCAGATGGAATTACGCATTCGTCAATTGTACTGATTTCTAAAGAATCCATGGATAAATTCTCTACAACCGGAGAAATTAGTGAACCGATTGACATACCTTTTTGTCTTGAAAGATCTGGGAATAGGATGGATTGTACGCACAATAACAGACACTTGATGACCGTGGAGGGATTTAACGGGCATCGTAAAATCAAATGTATCAGATACTTAACAATCATAAATAACATCCAGTGCTCTAGTGAGATAAGTAAACGAGTAAGTAGGGAAGAAACGTCAAAACTTGCAATTATTTCATCATCTTCCATGTGATTGTTATTCATCATTATTCTTGAATCCAGTGGAGTTTTAAGTCCGCTAATAATCCATTTGTTATATGGTTTGATTATCCTAGCTATATATTTTGTCAGTTTATCTATCGGTGACTTTGTAAAATCAACCATTGGTCTTGATGCTTAATTATTCTTGTGAATCTTTGTTAGTCCATTAAATCTACAAGGATTACAACCATTTGAATAAAAAGTAAACCATAATGACAATCCTAGATTTATCTTAATTTGATTTTACTTGTTTCAGCTTCAAGTTTTTATTGAGTATTGTTCGTTATGTCGTTACTTTAATTGGTGCAATAATGTGGCTGCTAAACCACATACTCCAAATCTAACTAACGATGAATTATATTCTGTGAAAATGTTACAAAACCATAAGACAATTATCATTTTTAATTTGGTGACAAATACAATTTAACTTATATTGTTGAATGAAATTTATAGAAAAAGAGAACATTTTTGTGTCACGATGAAGTAATTTTAGTAACTCAAATTCAATAACAACTGATCAAATCAAGACATAAATACCAGATTGAATTACGTAACACGGCTCAAAAAAATTGTATAGGATTAAAAAGAATGAAAGTTTAAGTCAGCAGAAATATAATAAATTTTTATTAATGATCACATAGAATTAAACGTAGTTAATGCTCGCTTACTGGCTATGAAAATGAAATTCAACACACGATATTTAATTAATTAAAAGTAACTTTAAAATACAAAGTGTAGGGGGTTTAAATATTGAATTATAATAGCTCTCTTTGTATACAAAGTTTTCATGCATACATGCTTTAGAAGATTGAAGTAAAGAATAAAAATTACATTTTCTATTTATGTTATTTAAAGGTTAACTAGTTTAATATTGTTTAGAGGAAAATGTCTATGTCTTATTTCTAATTTAGGAAGCTGCAGAAGACGGGACATTTTACAACTTTGCACATTATGCAGAAGCACTTTTTAGTAGTGATTGTCGTGAGTGGATAAGTATTTTAGCTCAAACACCTTGTATAATGCGGACAATTTCAAATGAATTTCATAAAATCCTACAAGTCACACTTAGCAATGTAAGTTTTTCATATGATTATTATGTTTTGAACAAGTGGTGAATTGTTTACAATTCCTATATACTTAGAGTATTATCGTTTTGTTTACCCGATTGTTTCAGCCAGTAATTACATAAGTTACATACTTTTAATGCTATGAAGTACACTGTTTTGTTGTGAAGCTTGAAAAACAGTTGTCGGTTACTACTAACGATACGATTTGAAGACTTATAAGTGAGCTTACTTTTGCCCGTTTTTGTATCTTCCATGCTTATCAGTTTCCTCGAATTAATTGACTAAAACTGTTTGAAGCAGGCCGATTGTATAGCCAAAATTAGGCTACATGCAAATAAAGATAAGTACTGAAAAATAGTTGATTATTAAGTGTATCTTAAATATACACTGAATATTATTCTATCCCCCGGTCAAAATCTTGTGTAAGTTTAATATTTTATTTAATCAAACTATATGATCTATTCAAATCGCTTGTTGTGTTCCCGGGTCTATATATATATACTGTATTTGTTTACAACTGGTTAGCGCTTTCTAATCACCAGGTTTTTTGTTCCTCTCACTAGCCCTTTGAAATTTTCCAATTCAGGGTAAATATGTCATCAGTATATATTTGTCCAACTATTATTTCGTCGTTCAATTCTTTCATTTATAATTGTTGCTCGTAGCTTGTTTAATATCTGGTCACCACAAATAAACCCACTCCCAAAATTGTAAACATGAAATAATAGCATAGTCACCTGAATATTGTCTTCTTTTTTTAGGCATCTAGTCGTCGGCAAGCTGAGTTAAAATTACGTTTTTCTGATCCACACTCATGTCAGTTATGTACTACAAGTTTGGGTTATGATCCGATCGTTTCAACATCTTCCGGACCATCTTCAGGTTCTTGTGTTATACCCCATCATGTTGACAGTCCACAATCGTACTGGTCGAATATGTTGACTGGGCATTCTAATTATAGTGGTACAAGTACAAGTGTTAGCAGCGCAAGTAGTTCAGTTGACCGTGTTACTACTATACCTGTACCTTTCAGTTCTATTTTTACAAGTCAGGGATTTAATCATTCTTCATCTTTCACATCGTTTACGAATCCACGACAACCTAAGGCCACAGACCATTTTTTACATAGTAATATGAAGCATAGTTCTGGTCAAAGGTCAGTTAGCAATTCGCCATCATCTCTTTATTCATTTCAAAAATCTATACCAGAATCTACAAATCATGACACCAATCATGGTCAAATTACTGGAATAACTGGTCTATCTACATCGTCTTCATCGTCTGCAGTCAATGATGACAGCATAAAAACTAATCCTGATAATGAATCATCTAGTATAAATGAAAAAGGTTTCTCAGATGATACTGATAACTTTTCTTCAGGACCTGGTTCATTCAAGGAAAATCAAGCTCAGTTAATAGAACTTTTTAGTTGTAATAATAACTTGACTTTCATTTTACCATCTTGTAATCATATGGTAATTGCTTTTCGTTATCTTCTACCTCAACTTCTGCTTTTGCCAAATCTTCAATTATTACAACTAGCAGATCATATTGAGGTAAGATAATTTCAGTATAGTTTTTTTTATATATATGTATATCAAAAGGGCATGTTATTAGTTGTTAACAATAAAACAGTATTCAAGTCAAATCCGTTAATACATTTATTTGTAATTCAAGTTTCTATTTCAGTCTGTCTCATATATATGAACTGCTTGTTGTGTTTTATTTGTTTAGAATTATATCAAATGTGCATAAAATAACAGCAGTGAGTGAAAGGATACAATATAATATTCATTGAAAAGTAATTTTCATCAGTATTTATTGTCATTTAACAAACCATTACTAGTAAGAAAGGTTTAGATAGCATTTTTTTTAAATTTTGAACTGTTCTATGGTATTCAAATCCTAAAAAAAAGTATTAACAATGGCATATTTGAATTACTTATGTTATTTTCTCTGTAAAATTCATTTATTGATTTACATGCTGTAATAAATATAAATATAAATATTTTGTTCTTGTCTAAATTGGGAAACTTCATACAACTTACCAATACCAAAAGCTTCTAGGTAAGGATGGCAAATCAATAGATGAAGCATTGAAACTTCATCAGTTGAGGTGGTTGGGACATGTGTTACAAATACCTAACCACTGATTGCCGCGATAAGCTATGTTTTGTGGTGCAGGAGTAGATTGGAAGAAAGTTAGGGGCGGCCAGACCAAAACATAGCAGAAATGCATCAAGTCACTGACAAATGGACTGAGTCATGTTGGTAGATGTAGGCTATCTGGTTGGGGTCCGTGAGACGAAAGTCACCAATGGTTAGAGACCTTGAACGGCATGGCTCAAAATCGTTTGCAATGGCGCAGGTGCATCCACTCTTTTATTCTAACCTTCTGAATTCCCCATAATCTCTACCTTTCTCCTTCTAAATTTATCTCACTAAATCATACTTTTCGAATCATATCTTCTCTCCCTAATCTTCTCCATTGCTACTAATACTTCTACTATGGCTATCACTCTTGAATTTGAACTGACAGTTACGTCTCTGTGCTGATGTGGTATGGAAACCTGAACTGATGTACTTATGTACGAATTTTTGCGTTGTATCTGATGATGATATCAAAAGCAATTTTGTGTGATCTAAAATACGACAGTATAAAGAAATATTCTTTTATTTTCAAAGAATTTAGTTTACTAACAACACACGCAAAAATGTTCCATTTCCTCAGATTAGTTTATTTAGAATAAAATAGTTCTTTCATATCATCTGAAATCTAACATCAAATTACAGTAAACATATCACTAATAAAACTAATATTATAAGCTATTTTAGTTGAATACTCTGTAGAACGTTACCTAGAAAATCATAATCTATCAACACATATATCAACTCTATTCGACATTTTTCATCCTCTTCAGTATTGTTTTTGACAGTTTCTATTTTATCCAACAACTTATTTCTGACTTTTACCATTACATGTACAGAGTTTCTATTGAATACGATAAATAATATTGAAACGGCCAGGATTGAGATTTAATGACTATGTAGCATTTTTAATTCACATTGACAATATTTCATGAAAGTAATGAGGAACTCTAAACACCAGTTTGTTGAATATTAAAATTTTACCACATTATGACTGGCAAAAGTGTAAGTTGTGATGACTTCCAATGTTATCAATTTTATCAGTAAGCTAGTAGTTTATCTAACTCACCAAAAAAAAAAAAACAACGATGTACTTTGTTACTGAATTGACCTATTATTATTTCGTTGTTTAAAAGAATATGCTAATTTATAATAGTACACTGATATTAAAAATTTTTTAGTTGTCTTTTTATTTTATACTGGTATATTTTGCAGAAATATTCAATATTTCTTACATACATATGTTTGTTTATTTTATCATGACTATCAAAGTAGCCTTTATATATGACAACTAGATGCTTTTCATTTTTTTTTTAGGCTTTACATGCTCATGCAACTGAAGAAAATGAACAATCAACTCTCAAGGATGTAATATCACTGTTATCAAAAACTCGATCCTCTGTATCTAATGCATTATCTAATCAAGATTGGGTGAAATCTGTCTCTTCAAAGTTGGCTTTCTTCATGAAAACCCCTTTCTGTCCTAATATCTATCCAGCTGAAGGGAAAAATAAATTGGAGGAATTGATTGCTTCAGTTCGTCGCATGCAACACTCTTCTGAACTCCCACTCGTTATATCCGAGTTTTTGATGGGTATGTCTGAACCAATACATCCTAATGACATTTATTATTTGACTTAGACAAAATACTGTTAGTACACAAGTTTTGTTGTGTTCCTTTTTTTTCAAATAGTCTTATATAGTTTGTCTTCAAGATAGAATCATAGGTTTTAGGTGTTGTTATCTTTTAAATTCATATGTTGACAAATATTTGATAACTATGTACATTACCTTAATCCATTAGGTTACTAATAGGGATAATTGAAATCGTGATGATTAGTCATGCTTATCTTTGTTATTCTTGTAATTCTACACTTTTGTGTTATTATCTCAAATTTACTATTTTTTCACACTGCAACAAATATATACACTACTCCACTATAACTAGTAATACGTTGGACCCAACTAGATCACATTGCCGTCAGCCACCGATGGAGGGGTTCGATAGAGGACTGTCGCTCGTTCTGGGGCACATGTTTAGATTCAGATCATGCCCTAGTGCGAGCTCGTATTTGTTTGAGGCTTACTGGACGTAGGAAAGACACCGTAAGAAAGCCTCTTAGGTCTTTACTTAATGATAATCATGCTAAGAAAATATTTCAGGAGCAACTAGAAAAACAGTTAGGCAACCATGCAAGTGATTCCCATCCGGAAGCAGGTTGGAATGATATCAAGAAGGCTGTGGAAACAGAAGTGATAAGGATAGGATGAAGCCGTGGATTTCAGTCGCATCCACCGAACTGATGGATGCTCGAAAACGCATCCCACCTGACTCTGAGCATGATGAAGAGCGTAGTCAGCTTAGGCGCAGACTTATAAAAAGCCTACGTAACGAACGCGAACAGTGGTGGGTGGCGAAATCAAAAGCGATGGAAAAGGCAGCGGCGATCGGCAACACTAGACAACTTTTCCGCCTTATTAAAGAAACCGGTATTAGGAACCCGAATGTGAGTGAGACTATCTCGGAAAAGGATGGTCTTATTATCCATTGTCAATCCAGGACATTGGACCGATGGGCAGAACACTTTAGGGATCAGTTCAACTGGTCTTCAGCCACACTTCGGTTACCCACGATCCCCGGTCATCCTCAATGGAAAATCGATTTAAGTCCTCCCAGTATACATGAAGTTGAGAAAGTTATAGGAAATCTAAAGGGAGGTAGAGCAGCAGGTCCTAATAGGCTTACCCCTGAGATGTTTAAGGATAGTGGTTCAGTTTTGAAAGTTAGACTGACCGAGATCGTAGGTAGAATCTGGGAACTGGACGTAATCCCATATGACTGGTGTCAGTCGCTAATTGTCCCAATCTACAAGAAAGGACAAAAGTCCTTTTGTGACAATCACAGGGGAATCAGTCTAACAAATATAGTTTCTAAATTGTTAGCCTCGATTATACTTAGACGCCTAACTAGAGCCCGTGAAGAGCAGACTCGAGAAAACCAGTCTGACTTAGAATATGCCGATGACATAGTTCTATTCGGTGAAGACGCTGACAGAATGCAGTCTTTTGACTATCATAAGCAACAACGCATTTTCGGGATGCGGTTTTCCCTCCGGAATGCAAAATGCTGCTTCAAGACTGGGTTGCATCGGCACCTGAACTAGTGATAGGGAGTGACGTAGTCGAGCGTGTTGATCACTTCACTTATCTGGGGAGTCTCATCAGTGCTGATGGCCTGGTGACTGACGAAATTTCAGCTCGGATACAGAAAGCTCGATTGGCTTTTGCCAACCTGCGTCACTTATGGCATAGGCGAGATATCCGTTCGCTGACCAAAGGACGAGTGTACTGCGCAGCAGTTCGCTCCGTTCTCCTATATCGATGCGAAACATGGCCGTTAAGAGTAGATGTTCGTAGGTTACTAGTATTCGATCATAGATGTTTAAGAAGCATTGCTCGTATATTGTGGGACACCCGAGTAAGCAATGCTGTTGTTAGGAAACTAGTACTAGGTAGGAACGACAGGTCAATAGATGAAGTGCTGAAACTTCATCAGTTGAGGTGGTTGGGACATGTGTTACGTATGTTTAACCACCGACTGCCTCGTCAAGCTAGATTTTACGATGTAGGAATACGTTGGAAGAAAGCTAGAGGTGGCCGAACCAAAACATGGCACAAATCCATGAAGTCACTGACAAGTGGACTGAGTCATGTTGGTAGATGTAGGCTACCTGGTTGGGGTACGCGAGACGAAAGTCAACAATGGTTAGAGACCTTGAACGACATGGCTCAATATCGTTTGCAATGGAGCAAGTGCATCCGTTCGTTGTGCTCTCTCAAATCCTAATCTTCTGGATTCGTCAGCACATTTACCTTTGTCTTACTAGCCTTATCTCGCTGAATTATACTTCTTGAATAATATCTTCAAACCCTAATCTTCTTCATTGACATTAATACGTCTACTATCTCTATGGGATTTGATTTGCGTCTCTGTGCTAATGTGGTATGGCAACATGAACTTATGTACATACCTACGAAGTTCTGCGTTGCAACTGACTATAACTAATACATGTAATTGAGATATTCCAGTCGATACTGGAATCTACTGAAAAAATGTATAAATTCATTCAAATTTTACTTCATACTTGTTTATTTTAGTGAATATCCAAATTGTAAATAAAGGGAAAGACGTGAAACACTAGTAATTCATTCGCCTTTAAGTAAGTCAACTCAAAGCTAACTTATTAAGAAGTACATATCAGCATAAATAATATTGGATTGGATTTACCATCCAATTTCATTCTAAATTACAAATTAATCTATTCTAGTAATTATTTCTTTTTATGCACTTTATATATTTTTCTTCTCTGTGTATCTAGATGGCCCAGTACAAGTAAGAATGGATCATGGCCGCTCAAAGAAATCTGAACGAATTGCCTACCTATTTAATAATTGGCTTATATTGTGTAAAAAACAAAAACGTGTACTTGGTAATGTGTCAAATTCTTCGTCGTCATCATCATCATTATGCACCAATTATGTGTTAAAAGTGAAAAAACGCATTTGCCTAGAACAATTTCATATCATCGATGTAGCTTCAGAATTTAGTGATAATAATGGTAAATTCTATTGTTAATATCTATAACTCAATTATTCTTATTGTATTTTTTTCTTTTTTCTTCACACTATTCAGTCTGTTTTTTCTTTTCAAACAGAAAACATTAATTAATTGAATGTTGATTACAAATAAAGGTGTATAGTAGTACATTAGATTAGATTGACATTGAAATATTCCAACTTGATAGACTCCACCTGCTATATTTAATGCCGCCTATTTTTCTTAAACAGTATCAAAAACTCATTCTCTTCGTTGGTTATACGTGTAATTCATGTTCAGCACTGAGTCATGTATGACATAAACTACTCCTAATCAATTGAATTATGAAATATTAATCTATGGCTTCATGCTTATGTATGTTTATCCAAATTCAATTCTTTTTAATCAAAACTGTCCTAATGATTATATAGTTTAGCTATATTTATCAGCTAACTCTATCAAATATTGATACTCGTGCTTGATTTTAATGATAAGTCACGTGGTAACTATCTGTTATTGCTCAATTGACGGAATTTTTGTACGTTGTCCTACCGGTCATTTTAAATACTTTATATGTTCTTGTATTGTTTACTAACCTATCCAAAGTCATATTTAGATGAGAAGTAGGTGATGAAATGAGTTCCTTGGGGAACTTGTTTAACTTCTTAATATTGACATTCAATGATATGATATATATGTTTTCATCAAAAACTCAAATCTAATGTATAAATTCAATCTATTAAAAACCACGAATAAATAATAAATAATAAGTGAAACTAGTCATAATCATTAATTTTGACTAGTGAAATTGAAGTTATTAGTGTATGGTGAATATAATTGACAATTTTACACAACACCTTCATCTATTGTACGTCCCGAGGTTTCCAGCATGTCCAATGCTAAATCAACGCCTATTTTAAAAACATAATTAAATAGTTGGGCGTCGATTAATACGTCAATTTCTTAATTTATTTGTTGGTAAGGCGTTCGCCTACAATGCCATAGGTCCCGGGTTCGAATCTTGCGAGGAGCAGGAGTCGTGGATGCGTACTGCTGATGAGTCCCATACCAGGACGAAACGGCCGTCCAGTGCTTCCAGGTTTCTAATGGTGGTCTAACAATGATTGATTGATGATTTCAAATGTGTAAAAAAACACAAGTTACAGAAAATAGAATAATACTAGTTTTATTAGTAGCCATTATTAGTACCAACCACTTTTCGGGATTTAAATAAAAAAAATTTTCTACTCCTATCATTTTTTTGTTGTTGGTGAAATGAATTCACTCAAATTAATGAGTGATATTTTATACGGATGGTATATTTGTTATACAATGAGTCAATAAAGTAGATGATATCACCTATGTATAATAAGTAAACGTAAATGATCTTGAAAGTTTTTCTTTCAAATTCTGACAATTTATGTTGAGCCATTATTATTTATGTATATTTTGAAATTTCTAATTGTTATAATTGAAGGATTTGATTGTTGAATAAGGTTTGTAATTATTAATCAATAAAATAGTGATCGACAAACATCATTCAGTGATACATTCCAGTAGTTAAGACGATGATCTAGTAGAATAGGTTTTTATTACCGAATAAAATCATATCTTTATGTATCATCTAAATAGAAATGTATAAATAGAAAATTTAGCACGATTACAATGGCCTAAACCATTGAAGACGACAATCAATTGTGAAGGTGGTCGTCACTTACTCATTCAGTGTCGAATGAATTCAAACCTAATTGTTAAGTCGACTTTCTCTTCGTTATAATAATAATACTAATGATGACTAAGTATTTTCTTAATTTCTGTTCATAAAAAGTGTTTTTGTTTTGTTTTTGAAATCTTTTTTTTTTTACAGGTGTTTTATTTCTCTTTGACTTGGAATGCTGGGAAACTCCTAAATTATCGTCTGTTGTGTCTAATTTACAAACAAATATGACTAGTTCATTTAATGCCAACATACTTTCTTCGTGTAATTCCTCTATTATACCACCAGAAACACAATCTGTACTTTCTAGTTCATCTCATCATCAACATCATCATCATCATCCTCATCATTATCAATTTCAACTTGGCAGTGTAGATTCTGTTTCAACTCTTACAAGTACTAACACACTCATTAATCATACTGTTGAAATCAATAATATTGGAAATAATAATAATAATATTAATAATAGTAATAATGAAAATGACAAATTATTAATTCTACCAACAGCTGGTGATGCAGCTGAAGCGTCAAACAATGCTTTATTAGAAGTGATCTCATCTTATCCAAAACAACGTTTCACATTTATTTTTTATAATAAAGAAGATAAAGCTAATTGGATGTCGGCTTTGATATATCTCCATTTATCTAGGTACTTTTTGTTTACAGAAAAAAAAAGTATTTATTTATTTATTAAAGTACAACTTTCTTATGTTAAACACAATTTGGTTCAGTTTTTTGTTGTAAATATTTCATAGTGAATTAGCTCTATACCTTATAATAAGCCTTATCATTTTCACCGCTGATTTTATAACCCTCTTCTTTCGTTGTTTGGAAAAAAGTATCACTGCCACTTCTGATTGTTTGATGAAATCATCTTGTTGCTATTACATCTTTGTACAGTTAACAGTACAATGTTAGCCTTGAATGTCAAGTTGTTACTTTTAATCTTTCTGTTCTTTAATCAACCTACCTGTCATAGTAAGACCTACTGGAGCAGATGTTGCAACCAATGTGGATTATCGTAGATATGATAAGCTGGATCACTACGTCAAGGTATGATTTGTTATTGGGTTAGACATATTTTTAGTTGAATAATTATGTGAGATAACAACATAATTCTTGAATTATGCAGTGTTTAACGTGTCAACTTCATATGTTATTTCGTAGATGTCTTGAGTACATAAGAATTGCTTTGCCGCCGCCTGAAATTGCTGTTTTTTATTTTCCGTCAAAATAATCTTTCTACCAAACTTCTATGTCACTGCCTTTAAAAGTAGTTTTTTTGTTCTACTAATATCCACTTTACGTTGTTTTTTTTTATTAAGCGATTCATTCATTTAAACATATATGTAAAGCTTCATTTTATGGTTTACTTTTTAGGTTGTTTAAACGATATCTTACATCTCTTCCTCGTCAAGATGTTGCTTTGATTTTACCATCACCTTCAGTTTATCGGTAAGTATTCATGAAATAAGCTGTTGTAATTTCCAAGTTAAGTAATTTTTTGGTATACATTTGTTTTATGGTTTTAATTGGAAATCTATACCGATTTTAGATACAAGATGTTTCTTCTTCTTTTAGGGTTATTCACCAATGCTTGCGTAGTTCGTTAGTAGATTTATATTTACCGTATATATATATATATATATATATATATATATATATATATATATATATATATATTTGTGTATAACCCTAAAAGAAGAAGAAACATCTTGTATCTAAAATCGGTATATATATATATATATATATATATATATATATATATATATATATAATTGCTGGGTTGTGTAGATTGTTGAGCTACTTTGAAATCATGAATCAGTCATTGTTAGACCACCATTAGAAACCTGGAAGCACTGGACAGCCGTTTCACTCTGATATGGTGCTCGTCTGCAGTGCTCATCCTCCACTCCCGCTGCTCGCAGGAATTGAACCCAGTTGTTTACTTCTGGACGGCAATATCATGCTCATGTTTTGCACAAAATGCCTGTATTCAAAAATCTGAATTAAAGAAAATAGTTAAATAGCTTTCATTTTATTCCTCTCTTACCTTAATTCAATTTTATTTCATGAAAAAAATGGCAACTTAAAGCATATTTCATTTAACTTGAAGAGAGAGAATTATTTTTATGCATAGAATAATTTGTATTTGCATAAAATTTGTACAATCATTTAAATTAATTAGTAATTCTACGTATTTTGTAACTGTTCATAAGCAAAAAAACGTTTAACGATGCAATGAAAAATCAAGTAGTTTATTGTACATTTTCCTATCATTATTATTTTATATGCTCACTAATCATCTATAAAGTGTAGGAAACGTTGTCTGTGTTTTCTTTTACTGTTTCTTTATATATATATTTTTTCAAAATAAACTGATGACATATGTATTCCTGCTATACGAATAGTAGTGACTGGATAATTTTATTCAATTAATTGTGTATAATATGAACATACTACTACTATTTTATTTTCTTTTCTTACAGATATGCTGTTCCTGACTCTCCATCGAATATTCTATTAGAATCTTCTTTAACAGATGGTAGTGCAGGCATTCCTACTATTCGTGCTGCTACAATTTTGAAGCTTATTGAACGAATGACATATCATGAATATTTTGATAATAAAACTTTAAATGCATTTCTTTTGGTATGTTTCAGTAGGTTTTCTTTTTTTTTTTTTGAATTTAATTTATTCTATCTAATTTATTAGATATACCTTATCTTGAGCGAATTAAGTAAAAATTAAATTAATGTTATATTGCAATAATTCTGGACATTGAAAAGTGAACATGTTCATAATACTGTTTGTCATTGTAGACAATTTGAATACATTCATTACTTAATTTTTTATTATAGTATCCAGTCCCTACTTTGTAGTTTATGCTAAAAATCAAAAAAATTATATATATATATATATATATATATATATATATATATATATATACACCTAATGAATCTTCATAGTTAACCTGTACGACTCAGTGTGATGGCTGTGGCGTCCGTGACAGCAGCACTGAGTGCTAAATTTGAATTCGATATCAACATATTCAGAACTGGATATACAGAAGATAAATCATTTACTATCTAACTTATAACTTAATAAATTGACAGTTTGAATATCATTTGATCTAATTTGATTTCATGAATCCTTAATCGATTGATATGATTCAATAGCCAAGTAAGTACACAGAAATGCTCTTTTGGATTATTTTTTTTTCAAAATGTAAACTATACTAGAATTATTAACTAAATCAAAATGATTAAATTAAATAATTATTTCAATATATGCTGATTGTTTTACTAATCTCACTAAAACACATATTATACAAGTAGTAACAATGTACAATTCATATTTACTTATTTCACTGTATATATATATATATATATATATATATATATATATATTTCTCACAATTTTATTTGTTGATTATGCCTGTTTGTAATGTAATATAATTCGACAAAGAAATCTAAAATATCTACTCATTGTGTTAATATTAATGTTCACTTATCATATTATGTACTAATCGTTATATGTAATTGCATCCTTTAAAACAAAACTCCATTGCACATTGAACATGTTCTTACAAGTTTTTAATTTTGTTTTATAAAATAACTAAATTTACTTAGTAATTTTATTCTGTAAAGTTTTATTTTGATACATTCAATGCATTATAATCTAACGGATACTAAAAAAGTTATGTATTCAAATTGAGATGATGTTTAATAAAAATATGGTTAAACTGTATGAAATAATTAAGTCTACAGTAATGCCTAATTATAAATAATTTGAGATTGTTCTAAATACAAATACAAATATAATAGAAACCGGATAGATTGACAACTTGCATCAGTCAGTCATTCAGATGCAACGTAGAACTTCGTACGTAAGTACAACAGTTCAGGTTGCCATGCCCCATCAGCACAGAGATATAATTGTCAATTCAAATCCAATAGTAGTAGAGGTAGTAAAGGTATTAGAAGTAATCGGAGAGGTTAGAATTAGAAGATATTATTCAAGAAGTATGATTCAGTGAGATAAGTTAAGAAAGTCAAAACTAGAGGTGTTGAAGAATCCAGAAGATTAGGATTTGAGAGAACACAAAGAATAAATGCACCGGCGCCATTGCAAACGGTTTTGAGCCATGTCATTCAGGGTCTCTAACCATCGATTATTGTCATCTCGCGGACCCCGACCAGGTAGTCGACAATTACCGACATGACGCAGTCCACTTGTCAATGTCTTAATGGATTTCTGCCATGTTTTGGTCTGGGTGCCCCTAACTTTCTTCCAACCTACTTCTACAGTACAAAACGAAGCTCGTCGAGGCAGTCGGTGGTTAGGCATACGCAGCACATGTCCCAACCAACTTGCATACATCACTTTAACACTGATCATTCACATGTGATTGAGAAGTAGAGAAGATTGGATATTTAGAGAATAACTTTATTATTCCTAACAGAAATTTAAAAATATAAGCAGGGTAAACTCTGTAGATGCAATGATTTTTAAACACTACAAAATAATAGACTGAAAATGCGAACAACCAAACAGACACGAACGAAGGTCATTACAGGAGTATCAAAAACTTGGAAAATGTTTTCGCAGTTACTTTTATCAGTTGGAATTATCATTTATAGACAGAAAACTAGAAACCTTGAGCTCTTTTAACGGAGTAACGAAGTAATACTCCGATATATATATATATATATCGATTTGAGGCCAGCTTAGTGCATCGATTGATATTACTACTACTGGTGCACTGTAGATGAAATATCCTAGTCATTTTCAATGTTTTATACTGTTGTTAATTTTGTTTCTACGTATATAGTGTATTTTAACTCTATTTTATTCGGTCATATCTTTATACAAAGTGTGCATGTACGCTTATTTCAACTGGATTTTAATGAATTTGACACAGGAAAAAATGTAAAATTATAAAGGTTTATATTGTATTAAATGTGAGTATCTAATTATAGTTATAACAATAAAATTATTGTATTATTTTGTCATTCAATTATGTTTTTATAACATGATGTTATTGTTTTCATTCAATTTTTTTATTTAGACATACCGACGTTATATTACTTCGTTGGAATTGTTGGATTTATTAATTGAACGATTTAATATACCAAATCCTGATTTTATGGAAGCTGCTAATGAAACATTTAGTTCACTAAGTGAACGTGATGGTTCAATTACTGCTGCATTACGTTTAGAGCAACGTTTTCGTTCAGTGTATAAACGACGTGTACAATACAGGTTTGATTAGGCTACTTTAATTTTTACCTCCAACTTTTTCAATGAACTGATACTAATTGTTTATAAATATATTTTATTGTAAACTGAATACTCTTTAGTGCACACTTGTCATTATTCCTAGATTGCATTCGTCACTGATTAGTCTCATTTAGCATGTAATAAAACTGGGTAGCGTTTCGTCCTAGTGTGAAACTTCCCGGTTCCGTTGATGAATACTACCTACAAATCCCTAACTGTCTTCTTAGACATTACATCATTAGCACAAACTTCAGTTAAAAGTGAGCTAATAGAATTTCTCATCAAGTGACTAGCAGATTGTTAAGTCCGATCTTAAAGTTGATAAGTTGTTGTTGTTGTTGTTGGCACTTATCCTGTTATTGTCTGCATATTTATTTCCGCTATAATTATGTCATCTAGCTTGAAAAATACAATTTTAGCAAAACTTCTCTGTTAAGCTACATATTTGTTTGACTATCTAGTTTGTCGGCTGCTCAATCTCATTTACGAACATTTACAATCTAATGAAGTGAATGATGTATTTGAAAAGTTGTCAAAACTTTACTTATATATATCTTCCACGTATATTATTGAGATTGTCTCCTTTAATAATCAATGTTTGTACTAATCTTTAATGGTAGTTTTTTGATATATAAAGCTCTTCAGTAGCGTTTATCACGAAATCACATTCAGTTCTTTATTTATATGAGTGTTAACGCACAACTTACATCATCCCATCATTATTGTCTTTTTAAAACAAAAATTTATTTCAGGGTTTTAAATTTCATTATTAAATGGGTGAAAAATTCTTCATATTATAAACTTGACATACTACCAGATGCCGTATTACGTAGTAGATTGTGGAGTTTTTTAGACACCGTAGATGCTCGTAATTTATCAGACAATGTGACAAATATTCGTAAATCACTTCTTGGAGACAGAATAAGATTAATTCAGACAATTGAACAGCTTCCTCCTGAACAACTTGATTTCGGTTTGGTTACATCACCGAACGATGTGAAATTAACTACAGTAAGATTTGTTGTATAATTTGAAATTGATATATTTATGTATTATTAATATCTTTATTATTTAATTCTTATGTTATCTTTGTGACTTTCGAGCTTTTTTTTTTTGATTTTTCATACTGATAACTTAGATAATGTTGAGTAGTGTATTCCGTTTGTTTTAAATGTTCTAATCGGGTGCATTGTTATACATTAATATTGAGTCATTTAAATTTTTGTCAGGAGACACCATGTAAAGTCAGCGAAGTCTTTCTGTAGAAGACAAGTTACCTACCTACACGTAAATCAATTATTTTAGCGTTGGTAAGAAAGGGAGAACATTTTGTTTCTAACCTGTGTTGCTTGTGAATTTTATCAGATAGAATTAAATCATTAGGTTTCTGTCTCATCAATATGTTTTGATTATCAGAAAATAAGTATTTATAAGTAACAGGTTGTGGGGATTGTTGAATTTCATTGAAATCATGAATCGAACTGAGTCAGACTACTATTGAATACCTGGAAGCACTAAACAGTCGTTTTTTCACAAGCGATAATTGGACCCAAGGCCTTCTGTCTCGCTCACGAACGCCTAACCTCTAGACCACTGAGCCTATGGAGATCGTGTCATTTTCAAAGTTGGAATAGCGGGAATCCTGAGTTCGGTTCTCACGCTCATGGTCGAGGATGCGCACCGCTAGTGAGTCTCATGCTAGAACAAGACATCCGTTCAGTGATTTCAGGTTTTCAACTGTGGTATAACCTTGATCTATCCACGATTTCAGTGGAATAAGTTTTTCCTGTGATTGTTGCCACGTTCAACTGTAACAGCATGTTATGAAAATCCTCAAAAGTAACCACATACCGACCAACGTTTATTAAAAATTGTGTAGTTCGTAAAATTTTAGAACGTACCTAGCCGTTTGTGTTTGTAGTACATATCAATTAAGTTTTATAATGTTGATCATCACACCTCTACAGCTATTTATTCAGGTATGTGTATAATGAACTGCATTGTAGGTATTTTTGATCAGTCAACGAGTCATTATCACAGTATCAATTTTTCATACTTCACATCAAGATAACAAGTCAAAGCAGATAACTCATTCCAACTACAATAACAATGTTTGAGCATAGAAGACAAATTTCAAGCAGATGAAATGTGGTTGAAGAGTAAAAAGTTCAAAATGACACTTCATTCATGATTCGAAGGAGAACAAAAAAGCAAATACAACTGAGTTATTCTGCATAATTATACTCTATATCGCATCAATACTTTGAACTATTAGTTATAATAAACGGATTGATCGTGTTGTATCTCTAGCTTCTGATTAGATAATCGAAATCGTTTGTTCACTCAACCAATATTGTTATTATACAAGAAAAAAATGAGCCTTGTTTTCGATCCTATTGAATGCATTCAACTATTTTCAGTGCATTTTTAATTACAGATATTGATTGGTAAACGTTTACTCAATGTTTACTGTGTTTGTCCACCTTTTCTTTTTCCATCATTTCGCTTTTTTTTGTAAGGTTCATCCTTTAGAGTTAGCACGTCAAGTTACACTGTATGAATGGGAATTATATTCTCGCATTGAATTTTGGGAAGTTACTGGTAAAGAAAAAATCAAATCTCCCAATTTTGAAGTATCACTTCAGTTTTCCAATAAGGTTTGTATTTGTCATTTGCTTCTCATATCATACCATTATGTTTATTATGATACATATAGAATATTATATCTATTTGATATGATATGCATGTTTCAAATATTTTATTTTACTATTATTGGTCAATTAATAATTAAGCGTTGTGCGGAGAGGTTTATAAGCAAAAGTTTCCATAACATACTAGTTTAACGAAATAAAATAAACAACATGAATATTAAAGGAATCGAAACAGTGTAATACTACCACTTCTGGGCCATATTACCCAACGTCCCAAACGATTGGTCGTATTTGTCATTCAGACCTCAACCACATAGTTTACCTGTACCTAGATAGTTTAGTCTCGCAGTCACTGACTTCATGAACTGCCTATACATTCTGGTTTAGCCACCCTTCGCTTTATTCCAACCTACTCCTGATGAAGCATGTGTGAAACACATCCAAATCATCCCAGTTGATAAAGATTGATTCCTTCATCAACCGATTCGTCATTTTTACCGAATACCACGCGTCTAACATCAATATTACTCACTCATTGGTTTAGATATGTTCCTGTTAGTAATATGGTATGGGCTGAATATTAAACTCTTATCGTTTCACGACTTAAATTGTTTTCAGGTCTCAGAGGTTTTTTCTATGAAATTGTTTATTCATCTACAGACCCCATTTTAATACGTTCTGAAATAACTCAATCAGTCAAACAGTATAGAACCTGGCAGATGATGTACATCAGTTGAAGTGCAATTAAATGAAGTTTTTATCACAAATCCTAGAATAGTAGAACTATTAATAGAGTAGTGATCAAAAAGATTCGGAATCGAAGATACGTTTCACTAAAATGTAAAGTAACGATAAAAAATTTATGGGAGAATTTAGAAACATAAGATCTAAGAGAGAAGACAAAGAGTGAATGTACTTGCTCTATTGTCTACTCTTTATTTTATCAACAATTTCATCTACAATGTATATTTTGATTTATAATTTAACTATTTTTTTTAAACATCTTATTATGGTTATCATTGAAATTTAAATTGTTTTCTATTTATTGATTTTTTATGTAGTTTAAATGTTGGTTAGTTAGTTCGATAATGTCAGCTGAACATTTAGAAGATAGAATGATTATTATGCAACGTGTTGCTGATCTACTTGTATACTTTGATAGTTTGAATAATTTACAAGGTGTTCAAGAAGCTAAAGCTGCTCTATTAAGTTCTCCAGTATTTCGACTCAGTGAAACTTACGATGTATGTTGTTCTTTTTATAATTTGAAAATGTTATTTATTTTTTTTGATGAGTTTTTATCGGTAATGATAATTTTAAATGTTTTAGTGATAAATCTGTTTTATTTGTTTATTTCAAGGCTTTAATCTCTAAATCAAAAGGTCATTATCGTAACTTTTTCGAATCATTACGTCAGTTCGTTGAAGATGATAATCCAAACGTGTATTTCACTGATTATCAAGAGAAATTGCATCGAATTCATCCACCTGGTCTACCGTTTATTGCAGTCGGGGATAAAACACAATTGATACATTTAGAATTGAAGCATCCAGATTGGGTTAATGCTTCTACATTACCATTTGCAACTGTACCAGATATACAAAATTCTAATGATGGTTGTTTGGTTAATTTTTGGAAATGTCGTCAATTGGCTGAACTTGTTGAGTATTATTTATCGTTTCAACAAACTCCGTACAATTTTTCTATAAATAAGTCTATCCGTGTAAGTTTTTGTTATATTCTTGATAATATATATATATATATATATTCTTTTATGAACCTTAGATAAATGTTCATTTGCATATTACCCAAGCAATCATCACAGTTATCCTTGTAAAGTTAGGCATTAACATGTTTGGATGCTGGCTTAGTAGTCTAAAGATTAAGCGTTAGCACGAGAGAGCGAAGGTCCTGAATTTGATTGCCGCGTGCGGGAGTCGTGGATACGTACTGCTGACGAATCCCATACTAAGGACGAAACGGCCGTCCAGTGCTTCCAGGTTTCTAATGATGGTCTGATAATAATCGATTCATTATTTCAATCAAACTCTGGAATCTTCTTAGCTCTATGATGAAAAATATTCCTGTATCAAATATATTTTAACTTACAAATTTCATTTAACTTTATAATAATTAATTACATTAAAAATATATACACCGTTCCATATTTCTTGGGGCCTTCATTTTCAATTATGAGTTCATGATTTGGTATTTTGTGTATGAAACCAAGTCCTATAAGTATGCACTCACTTGATGTAGCTTAGTCATTGAAATAAATCAATACTATTCACTCTTCAAATATCTGATGGGCATTTCATACTCTTCAGCTTTTCAAATACGATTCAAATTGAATTTTCATCTGATACATAAGGCAGAGTAGTTTACAATTGTTAATCTGAACAGAATTGTTTATTTTCTGTTTTACTTCTTCAAATATTTGATTATCATTATTCAATAATCGGTATGTATTGTAAGACTAAATGTTGTCAATCATAACTAATTCATTATGATATTTATCTCTAAAATCTTAACATTTGTTAAGTTGACCATATGGTTTTTATTATTTACTAAGTTTAATAATGATTAGTTATAATTTATAAATAGGATACATCTAGATAAATACCTTATTAGTAATTTTTACGTATTCATTTAAATTTTCCTAACAGAGCTTCTTAGAGAAATTAAATCCATTAAATACATGGGGTGTTGATAGTGAGAATTCATTTGATGATATAATGTATGAAAAATCTTTGAAAATTCAACCTAAACGATCTGATGCATACTGTACGGTAAGTTATTTACTTTTTTTTTAAAAAAAAAATACTAACATTACACCGAACAATACAAATAAATCATATTTAACAATAAAAATAACGTAATGTTTTAAGGTCATCATTCCGCGTTAATACTCATCAGTTAGGTTGCTTCTTAAAATATTAAATACTCAATGTTGTTTATTGTTGCTAAGATTTACTATTCGATTTGCTATTAGATTCATAAAAACGTCTACATTGATTATTAAACAGACAATATGTCATAACTAGTATTATTCTGCTGTACACAGTATTTATCAGCACTGTTAGAATATTCATACTAAACTATACACTGTAGTGCACTCTTTTTTCTGCTTGTCACTTAACAAAATGCTATGGAACAAATTAGAATGAAATCATTTAATAGTTAATAGAGTGAACTTCCAGAAAGAAAATAGAATTAAGTACATTCATTGATTACTGGAGAGAACTGCATCATTTTAGTTTCTATACTATGACTGTCTTGTAAATGAAATCTTCATGCCCGGTTAAATTTTGTAATTTATCACGTTCTATATTTTTATACTTTCAGGTACCTCGTGAACGTATCCTAAAGCCAGTAGAAATAAAAATTGCAGCTGCATTAAGTCTTGTTCAACCTGATCCTAAGCTAACTCCTGATTCACGAGAGTTTCGTAATCTTCTTCAAATAATTTCTACTGTTACAAATTGTTCATCCTCTTCAACTACAATATCTGAGAATCAATTTGTAAAAGAATTTTCTGATTTACCAGATAAAGCTGTAGAACAGATAAATGATAAGCCGAATGCCGTTTCAGGTTTAATAACATCAACTGATCCTTTTTCATCTCTTCGTAGTTCCAATGGTAGTTTATCTCCAGTTTCAGATAGTGATAAACATTTAAGTCATTTGAAATCATGTATAATTGGTGAGCTAGCAAAATTGCATATTTTTTGTTATTTATTATTTTGTAAATAATCTATTTTCCAATATTTAAGTAGTTAATTTGTAATTTAAGATCATTGAAATATTTCCATGCCTAATGATGCTTTCGTTTGAGCGATCATTTAATAATAACAAGGTGTTCAAATTATTATCTTGTCTTCTTCTAATTGATAATTCATTCCCTATGCCCTGTTACATTAATTTTATAAATTATGAATCTTGTTGCGAATGTTATTTGATAAATGAGAATCGTAAATAAAACAATGTATATGAATACATTTAGGAATTGAACAGTCAAGTACCGACCTCCTAATGACTTTCTAGTTTCCGAAAAATTGTTTACTCTGAAGCAAGAAATACAAATCGTAAAATCATCAATCAATCATTGTTAGACCACCATTAGAAACCTGGAAGCATTGGACGACCGTTTCGTCCTGGTATGGGACTCATCAACAGTGCTCATCCACGACTCCTGCGCCTCGCAGGATTCGAACCCTGGACCTCGAATCCTCCGAGGTGCAGGAGTCGTGGATAAGCACTGTTAATGAGTTATATACCAAGACGAAACGGTCGTCCAATGCTTCCAGGTTTTTAATGGTGGTCTAACAATGATTGATTGACGATTTCAAATGTGTAAAAACACAAACCTCCAAAAATCTGCCTGAAAAAATCGTCAAGGTTAGGATATGTTTGGAAAACAAGAGTATTTATATGACCTTAGGGTTTCAGATATCTCTGAAAAATATGCCTAAATTGATTACAATATTGGCATTGTTCAACGAACCTTTGACACAGAGAATTTGAAGTTTTCTAGAATCCTTTTAGAATTGTTTAACTGAAACCGATTGTTTAAAGTATTTTTAGCATTTTACAACCTTGGAAGACTTTGAAAAGATTATTGATGTAGCCCTGAACACATAATTAATTAGTAATGTTATTTTTAGACGAAACAGTATCTTTTTTAAACCATCATTTGTTCATTGATTAATTTAAATGGTTAATTTTGTAACACTTTTTTCCTTCATCTTATTCATATGTTTGCATAAATTCAAAATAATTTTTTATTGTTATTTCACTATGTTACCAATCAATTTGTACAAGACACATGTACTACCTCATCTTCATCACCTGAAACATTTCTTCACGATGGTAATACTCAACATACATCACCTGACTTTCTTCTCGCTAATGTTCATAAAAAACTTGATAATACACATACTGTATGGGTTTCTTCACCACCGCCTCTACCTCCTCGAATTAGCAGATCCACGCACCAATGTATCCAATCGAAACAGTTTAGTAATCAGATTTCAACTTTTCAAGAATCCTCACATGGTATAACCAGTGCTATGTTATCAAATATCAAAGGTACGTTTATTAGTATGATAACTGTTCTCTTATTTTATTGTTCACACATCTGGGATTTTCTAAATGCTTAGCTTTTGAAAAGAAATAATTCCATGTTAATAAGAACTTTCGTTTAAGTTTCAACGAACAGTTTAATAGTAGTTGAGCACCGATTTTTTAGAAGACATTAAAGAGGGAAATTATATTATATGCTTACATGTGTTTAAAATAAACAGATGTATGTTTTCTTATATTGCTGAGAAATTTCTTTCAGTAGTCAGATAAAGAAAATATTTTTCCTGGCAAGGTTGTTTTTTTTCGAGATGATGTTACTAAATCCATATCCAACCGTCCCACTTGATCCAGAGTTGGGACCGTTAGCTACCCTACTAAGGCTCTTCAAATAAACTAGAATAATTCAACACTTCATCCTTTCTTGTTGCATAGTGCGTTTAAAATTGATAACAATCCTCCTTTTTTTTGTATAAAATATCAAAAACGTTTGGGGTTTCAATAAACCTCTATGGAAGCGAAAAATTAAGATTTGTAAAACTATGCATATTTGTAACTTCGTTTGATGGACATTGTCAAATGATTTATGTTACTTCTGAACAATTATCTTCAATAAGTATTTACCGATGAAACCAGTTAATTCTCTAATAGTAATAGCTATTTTTGATCTATTTTCTATCATTTTCAACTAGTATTGAATAGCTAATTGTTGTTGAATGATTCTAGTTTTTCCTTTGATTCATTTTGTTTAGTCAGAAATGATGTGCACAAATCACTTGTGTACTTTCACCATATATTTTTAATTATGATTACTTTGAATAAAAGTTTTAACATATGAATGTTACGTACCATGTAGGTTCTGAACAACTTCATTTATATGTTAAGAGATACCTTAATGGTGTGATTAAATTGTTTCTCTTAAACATGTGACTGATGCCCACACAAATTATTTTTCACTGTTTGTAATGTTTGAACGATGAAATGACACATTCAATCTATGGTTATATTTGTATTTTTATGCATATGACTGTACAATGTATTTGGTAAAACAGTTAATACTTGTTCAACAGGTGTGAACAACCAGACATTACTACCACATATGCACTTGAATAGACAGTTGCACAACTCTCAAGTTTACTATTATTTTGAATGTCTGTATTCGTCCAAGGTCATTTTGTTGATAGTTGTCTGACAACATATGTTCATACCATTCAGTGGATAGGTCGATTAATTATCTAAACATTGAAAATAGTAAGATTAATTGCGTTTTTCCATCCATTCAACAAATAAAGTAAAAGGAACAGCAACCATCAGAATCACGTGAATTATACAAACAAATCATAGATCATCAACTATTTTCTTATCTTAGCCCGACCGTAGCTTCTACCTTAGCGCGTTGGTCAGGCTTGCCTATCGTGATAACCCAACTGAGCTATATTGGTTGGAACATGTGTTTTTGTAGGTTCTACCATGCCACACAGGCCGAACGGAAAACAGTGAGACTGAAAGCAGCAACTCAAGGTTTGAGGGCGAAGTCGTACTGTTGACTGTCGGGGGGGGGTGTGACAGCAGTAAGGTGTTTCCCTCACACAACCAGCATATGCAGCGATGCTGCCTTCTCACAAGGAAAGAAGGGTTAGAAAAGGTCGACCCTAAAAATGTCACACCTCACCTTACCTCACGGATTTCCGCCTCCGGCAGTAAGGGCTACCCACTAAAGGCTTTTGAAAAGAGCGGAGCTAACACTCAAAAAATCTTTCATAAAATGGTCGTGCTTGACCGGGCTCTACGATAACGCTCCAGAGCGCTAAGATCATTGCTAACCCGATTTCCTTTTCAGGTTCCTCAGAAAGTACCCTTCCACAGTGTGGACAGCCAGGAAGTGACACCCGCCCTCATACCTGTAAAAGCACACGAGACCTATCTGGTCACAGTCAACTTCTCTTATTTCACGACCAACCCTTATTTCGTTCTTTTGTCACCACTGGCCGCTGATACAAAAGTTTTTAGCTGACGAAACGTTATTCTTGGTCTCCTGAAACCCCGCCCTAAACTACATATTGAAGCTTTTAATGTTCGAAAATTGTGTCAAATAGGGCGACAGGCTTCATTAACTAGGTCTATGGAATCTCGTACCATCAATATGTGTTGTGTCACCGAATGACGCATACAGGATCCTAGAAAAATCATTAATTTGATTTCACCTTGTCCAAATAGAGAATCTACTCAATTTACTCTTTATGTATCTGGGAGCCCTGCTGCTGGATCCCAGTAAACCGTCACTTATGCGCTGTCCGACTAAACGGAACAGTAATGACTCGTAATACGCTTCCACTGACTGCAGCCCGTACGAGATAACAGATGTGTTTTACAGAAACCTTTCCAACAATCTTCAAAAAGTTAAGCGCTCTGATATAGTAACTGTAGATGGTGACTTTAATGTTTAAGTAGGCAGACTAAATGAAAAAGAAAGACACTTGTGTAGATCTTATAGTATCGCGGCCGATCGAACAAATAATGGTTTACTAGGCGTAGGAAAGACACTGCAAGAAAACCTACCTAATGGTAGCAAAAGTAAGAATATATTTCAGAAATAACTAGGAAAACAGTTTGGCAGTCATATAAGTAAGGCTCACTCCGAGACAGCTTGAAACGATATCCAAAAACCAGTAGAGACAGCAGTGACGTCTGCTAGTAAGGTAAACCATAAGGTTAAGGAGAAGATGTGGGTCTCAGTAGCATGTGCAGGAGTGATAGATGCCCGAAAAATCATCTCACCTGACTCCGAACATGATAAGGAGCGAAGTCAGCTTAAGCACAGGCCGATAAGAAGCCTACGCATTGATCGCTAACATTGTCGGGTAGCGAAAACAAGAGAGGTAGAAAAGTCAGCGATGATAGATAGCTGTAGACAACTGTTCAGACTTATCAAGGAAACTGGTGTTAGGATTCCGACTATGAGTGACACTATCTCAGAAAAGGATGTGCTTGTTATTCATTCTCAATCCAGGAGATTGGATCGATGGACAGAGCAGTTTAGGGATCATTTCAACTGACCTTCAGCCAAACTTCCATTACGCACTATCTCTGGTCATCCTGAATAGCAAACCGACGTTAGTCCTCCAAGTCTTTATGTGAAGTTGAAAAAGATATAGGAAATCTGAAGCGAGGGAGAGTGGCAGGACATGACAGGCCTACCGGTGAGATTTTTAAGGATGTTGGTCCAGTTTTAACAGTTAGATTGACTGAGATCTTAGGTAGAATCTGGGCACTGAGCGTAATCCCATCCAACTGATCTCAATCGCTGATTGTCCCAATTTATAAGAAAGGGTAGAAGTCTTCTTGTGACAATCACAGAGGAATCAGTTTAACCGACGTAGTGTCTAAATTGTTAGCCTCGTTAAAACTTTGGCGGCTAACTGTGGCTCGTGAAGAGCAGACTCGAGAAAACCAGTATTGTTTCAGACATGGACTGGGGTGTATAGACTACATATTCACACTACGACAGGTCCTAATGCATAGACACATCTTTCAGCGTCCGACAATTGTTGTCTTCCTGGACCTTAAGGTGGCATTTGACTCTGTCGATCTTGAGGTTCTGTTCAGTGTCTGTCATTGAAAAGTGTACCAGAGAAGTATGTTAACCTTATAAAGACTCTCGACTCCACTTGAACACCATAATCTGTCTAGTGTTTCCTGATTTTCAGTGGTTGTTAGACTAAAATCTATGTGTGATGTTAACTAGGAAGCTAAAAAAAATCTTCATGATCCTCCATAGTATTTTACTATTCATCTTTATTGTCTTGGTATGGATTGTGTCGATTGCTTAACTTATCCAAACTCAAGCTATAATAATTCTAATATATTTTATTCATTTATTTAGTTAAAGAACATAAATAATGGTGCAAGTGATCACCAAAGTATACATACACCATACAGTTAATGGAATAAAATTGCGAAGTGATAAATTATGTGAATGAAAATAGTCGATGCAGAACAGTATATATTGCGAGATTATTGTTCATGTCTAAAATACAAACGGACAGCTTTATGTTAAGGAAGTTCATCTCACTTTTATGAAAAATGCAAAAGAACTGCAGTGACGATTTCTTCAAGCTTTTATTCTGAGCTGTTTTATATTGTCTCAAGCCATGGGGTCTCACCATCTTCAAGACCTCGAAGAAAGTATTGTAGTGGATCGACATCTATCAGCTTAATTTAGTTTTTTTTCGCATTACGATGCCAGGTCATAAACTGGTCAACTCTCAGCTTTTTTTCACCCACTCCCAGTGTCGGTACACAATGAATGAATGACGAAGAAGCTAGGGTTAATATTTGTAAGACTTGTCTTTACCAAAGAAGTCGGTGTTTTTAGATGGTGCTATCAGTTGAATTGTCTTTGGTGTATCGAGTACATATTGACTGTAACTCAATCAGTTTCATTATCTGGAATCAGTGGCTTCGTTGACCTGGATTCACCCTTTCATACGTCATGTTTCTGGAGAAAATATCAATAGTAGAATTGATGTTATGTTTATTCATCAGAAAATTGACACAAATATTTAAGCTCTTTACATCCTGTGATCTCATTCTGCTTTTAGGGGAAAATATATCCTGTATTAAAATTATAGTTTAGCTTTCACGTTTACTTTACTAGGCGTAGTGTTTTACTCATCTTCTCATCTTTGTTATTGTAGATATATCACCTGCAGAAGGCTTCCCAGCCAACTTGATCATGAATGCTACTCACAGTGATAACTCACAATCGCCACTATACATTTCCTTGGAATCAGAAAATCCTCCTACAATCCATAAGTCAGTTACATGCGATGATAATGATCTTCCTCCAAGACCATCTCGTCGTAAGCTAACTTATGTGTCACCTATAACAAGCGAAAAAAATCCTTTTTGGTCGAAACTGATCACTAAAGCCTCAGGTTGGTCAAATAGTCTGTCAATGATAAAAGTTTAATTGACATTTCTTTAAACATTAGAGATCATCGTATTTCTGACTTCCATACATTTTTTTTGCATAAATGATTAGATTTTGTTTCATCTTGTATTCCTGTATGTTAATATTGTTTAATAATCTTCGAAACAAATACCTGTCACTCATCATGTCCTTCAAAAAAAAATTATCTCATTTCATCTACTAGTTATCGATATACTTGAATCTTCACTGGAAAATTTCAAAGTGAACATAATAGCCCGTTGCATACTAAACTGTTTATTTTATTTTTTTCATATAAATTATCCAGTTCATTAGATAAAACAATTGAGAAAAGCTTTGTTTATCTTTTTTTTTATTTTTTGAATTCAATATTAATGAGTACAAAAGTCAAAGCAGTTAGCTACTCACTGATCATAACAATTTTAAATAAAGTTATAGTTTAAGTAGTAAATTGTAATTAGTACACAAAAATTGTGTAATAACAATTAAGGACGTACAACTAAGAAAGTAGATATTCGGTTTATTTTTTGTACAAAAATCACCTACGTCTCTCAAACGTAGTTTATATTATTATTATTTATTCCATCAGTCAGTCGGTTACGAAGTAGGACTTGATACGTCGCCATATCAAAGCACAGAGAGATGGAACTATCAGATCATATCCCACTTTCATACTACTTAGGTTGACTTATTATAGCCTAATAGAAAGATTCCTGAACTTAGTCTTGAGCTGTACTTTGAAGCCTAATGATACTAATTAGTTGGTCAAATTATTAAATGCCGCATGAAACTGTTTCGTTATTAGGCCTAACAAACAGAAATGAAACGGGAAATAGAATTTTGTGGAGATTGTCATAAATAGGAAGACATCTGAACCGAAAGGATGCCTTAGCAACAAGAGATATGAATCTACTACTGTTTAAGATAATGTCGATACAAATAGGACCAAGACTCTGAGAAAAATCCTCTCATAAAAGACAAAACATTAGTTGTATATGACTTAAAAGGTGAGACTATAACTGGTGAACAACCTTTAAGCAATACTACAGTGACGTCGAGAGGACTCGCGTACTAATTAATTTTCAAAGAAGGTTGTAAATTAACGCGAGGAATTAGGACTGATAATTTAGAATTTACGTTTGAGAATAAAATTTAGGGTTTTCACCACGAAATGATATCAACTGTAATGCTAAAATATTGTTCGACCACATTCTTCCTGCCTACTTTCACAGTAAACGGCGTCGATGTAGTCGGTGGTTGGATATACGTAACAAATGTTCTCACTACCTTAGTTTATAAAGATTCACTCATTTTGCTACTGTCACACTATCTACAGTCAATAGTGCGACTTAACCTTCGGAGATTATGTTGCGGCTTTAGCTATACGATGCCCCAGTCGACCTGCCTGTCATGATACGACCTAAATGAACATATGTTCCAGCCAATATAGCCCAGCTAAATCACCACAGTAAACTAGCCTGACTACCACTTCAACGTATCATCTACGGTCAGGATTATTTATCATTAAATGAACAGTTCCCAGTTTTATGATTTTACTATATATCTGTAATAACAATTTATTATATTATACTTTCTTTTGAATACTAAGATATATTCGGTCATGTGCTGTAAGTTTTCTTTGTGTAAATGTATTCCTTTTAATTCATACTCTATCGATTTACATTTCTTAAAATTTCTTTAATCCTACAGATAACAACAATATCGTCACAAGTAATTCAATAGACACTGTATCTGATCGACCTATTCTACCACCACGTATTCATCATCATGGCGGCGAAGTAGTACATTCTGCTAGGTTATTTAAGAATAATAGTCTAACAATTCAATGTAATGATACATTTAAAGACGAAAATTTATGTTTAAATTCTGAATCAGCAAGTTTATCTCGTATTTCACCAACACAGAACTTGACAAATTTGAATCATTCCTCCTGCTCCCCCACCTCATCATCATTATCACCACCACCTCCATTGCCACCGAAGAAATCAGTTACTCCAAATACTTCAAATATGTAAATAGATATATTTTATTTCATCCGGTTTGTCATTGTATAAATTGTCATATTATCTTGAATACAAATCCTGTTTAGTATTTTTCTTTTTCACATATACACCGAATGTAAAATTAAACTTCTTTGTCAATAAATACGATTCAAGAATATATTATTGCTTTTGTTATTCTCTGTGTATATGAAAAACAAACATTTTGTACATTATATGTGTATATTTATATATAGCTGACTAGACTTGTTAATATTTCTGTCTATTTGGTAATTTTCCAATTTAGATTTTTTCTATGCCTTTTTTGTATTCTTTCATTTTTGTTATTCTTGTACAGAAATCAATATATATATATATATATATATATATATATATATATATACTTATTTGTGTATATGGCTGTCTTTTTTCTTTTAAAAAAAGACATGCTCATTTCTCTATATTATTACTATCATGTGATGTAATTGATTCCCGCCCTCTCCCCCTGCATCTCTCTCTCTCTCTGTGGCTTTCTTTTCAACTGTAATTAATGATGTATATTAATATGAGTGAGTGTTATAAACTAATCTGTCCGTTTGTCTATCCTATTAGAGATGCCGTTTAGATAAACGCACACTCTGCTCTTATCTATATACATATTTACACTATACTCTGTGTAATCTGAAATGTAATAGCTTTAAATTATTTTTATTCAGTATAAATTTGTACTTATTGTGAATTGTATACATAATCTTCTGTGTAAACTAATTTATTATTTGAATAAATCACACTTTTTGTATTTTCTACTGTTATTATTATTATTATTATTGGTACGATTCATAATTTTCGTCTTAAAACATTCAAAAAAGCCAAAATTTCTGAGTGTACAGTTTCTTTGTTTATTTGACAGAAATGACAATGATTTTATAGTAAGAATAGACAATGTTGTACATATTCTGCTGGCGGGGGTGGTGGGCTGGTGGGTAGAACGATATCTGGAGGGATCAGCAACATTGACATTTTTAATCCGTTCATGAAACCAACTCATTCATACTTGATGATGTTAACTAGTTTGAATTAGATGACACTTGATGATGATTTCCACCTGAGTTCATAAAATTCCTTTAGTTGTACTTGTTCTACTGATAATAATTGGTTTAGTTGGTTTTGTTATAATTGTTAAACGAAAAGAGATGTTGTATTATTTCATTGGAAAAATAAATGAGTAAATATCATCACTCTCTCTCTTAACAGATGCATACAGTTTATTTCATATTAGATATGAACTGTACTAATAAATCAATCAATGGCCTGTATAATTCTAAAGTGTTTCTAATTGTTGGTTATGTTCATAGATTATCATTTAAAAAAAGATAGTGAGAACAATGTGATGTTATATATTTTAATGGAATGTATTTCATCGAAAAAATTGAATAGTTATAAATTCTTGTAACTAGATCCAATCGGGTATTAATGTCTATTCTGGTAAAATCTAAGTGATTTGTTTAGACCACTCAAGTAGTACTTGAGAGACTATGAAAAAACTATAATACAATTATGAACTTTTCATTTGTGTTATTATTTAACTCAACTCCGCCAGTAGAACCTTAGGGGCTACTGCCGGTCCCAAGCCCGGATAAAGGAGGAGGGTTGGACATGGGGTTGGCGGCCCCATTCCGTTGAAATCTAACTTGCCAAAAAAACGCTAACCAGAAAAAATAATTCAAACCATTTTAACTCTGCCCTGGGAGTTGGAAGAAGAATTATGACGTCTCGTGATGAAAGCCGAGTCCCCTCGGAAGTCACGGGGCCGATGCCTCTTCTGACAACCAGAGCAACCATTTTTTTAGGTACATGGAACGTTCGTACATTGTGGGAGACTGGAAGACTATTTCAAGTTGCGGCAGAAATGAAAAGATACAACCTCGAGGTGCTCGGCATCAGTGAAACACATTGGACACAGGTAGGACAACTGAGACTTGCTTCAGGGGAACTGCTGTTATACTCTGGTCATGAAGAGGAAAACGCTTCACATACACAAGGAGTTGCATTGATGCTGTCCAAACATGCACAAAAGGCACTGATAGGATGGGAATCTCATGGGCCGAGGATCATTAAAGCATCCTTCAAAACAAAGAAAGAGGACATTACAATGAACGTCATCCAATGTTATGCACCTACCAATGACTACAATGACGACGTTAAAGATCAATTCTACGAAAGGCTGCAGTCAATCGTCGAGAAATGTTCACCGAAGGATTTGACGATTCTTATGGGAGACCTGAATGCCAAGGTTGGAATGGACAACACTGGATATGAAGACATCATGGGACGACATGGACTGGGAGAAAGGAACGAAAACGGTGAGAGATTTGCAAACCTATGTGCCTTCAACAAACTGGTCATCGGTGGCACAATATTCCCGCACAAACGCATTCACAAAGCCACATGGATTTCACCGGATCACACTACTCAAAACCAAATTGACCATATCTGTATCAACAAAAAGTTCAGAAGGACCATGGAGGATGTGAGAACCAAGAGAGGAGCTGATATAGCTTCAGATCACCACTTGCTGATCGCCAAAATGAGATTGAAGCTAAAGAAGCACTGGACAACGGGGCAGACAACATCACAGAAGTTTAATACGGCCTTTCTTCGGGATACCGTAAAACTCAACGAATTCAAGATAGCCCTCACCAATAGGTTCCAGGCCTTTCAGGATCTACTCAATGGAGAGGAAGCAACATTGGAGAACAATTGGAAAGGGATTAAGGAGGCAATCACTTCAACATGTCAGGAGGTCCTTGGTCGCAAGAAGCACCATCACAAGGAATGGATCTCTGTTGGTACTCTTGAAAAAATTCAAGAAAGGAGGAACAAGAAGGCAGCTATCAATGTCTGCCGAACAAGAGCAGAGAAAGTTAAGGCGCAAGCCGAGTATACAGAAGCAAACAGGGAAGTGAAGAAGAGCATCAGAGCTGACAAACGAAAATATGTGGAAGATCTAGCAATGACGGCGGAAAAGGCTGCAAGAGAAGGAAACATGAGACAATTGTACGAAACAACAAAGAAGCTCGCCGGAAACTATCGTAAACCAGAACGACCAGTGAAAAGCAAGGAAGGGAAAATAATCAGCAACACTGACGAACAGCGAAACAGGTGGGTAGAGCACATTGAGTAACTATTGAATCGACCAGCTCCACTGAACACACCCAACATCGAAGTAGCATCCACGGACATCCCAATTAATATTGGCGCACCCACTATTGAGGAGATCAGTATGGCCATCAGACAAATGAAGAACAGCAAAGCAGCAGGACCAGACAACATTCCAGCAGAGGCAATGAAAGCAGATGTAGAAGCAACTGCGAAAATATTTCACATCCTCTTCAAGAAGATTTGGGATGAGGAACAAGTACCATCAGATTGGAAAGAAGGATACCTCATCAAAATACCAAAGAAAGGCGATCTCAGCAAGTGTGAAAACTACAGAGGCATCACTCTTCTTTCAATACCAGGCAAAGTCTTCAACAGAGTATTGTTAAACAGAATGAAGGACTTCGTAGACGCCCAACTTCGAGATCAACAGGCCGGATTTCGTAAGGATCGATCGTGTACTGACCAAATTGCTACATTACGGATCATTGTGGAACAATCAATTGAATGGAACTCACCACTCTACATCAACTTCATCGACTACGAGAAAGCATTTGATAGCGTGGATAGGAAAACACTGTGGAGGCTTCTTCGACACTACGGTGTGCCTGAGAAAATAGTCAACATCATACGGAATTCTTATGATGGATTCAACTGCAAAATCGTGCACGGAGGTCAGCTGACAAACTCGTTTGAGGTGAAGACCGGTGTCAGGCAAGGTTGCTTACTCTCACCCTTTCTCTTTCTCCTGGTCATCGACTGGATTATGAAGACGTCAACATCTGGAGGGAAGCACGGTATCAACTGGACAGTTAGGACGCAGCTGGACGATCTGGACTTCGCAGATGACCTGGCTCTTCTATCGCACACTCAACAACAAATGCAAGAGAAGACGACCAGTGTAGCAGCAGCCTCTGCAGCAGTAGGTCTCAACATACATAAAGGAAAAAGCAAAATTCTCCGATGCAACACAACATGCACCAACCGAATCACGCTTGATGGAGATACCTTGGAGGACGTTAACACCTTCACATATCTTGGCAGCATCATCGACGAGAAAGGTGGATCGGACGCAGATGTGAGGGCGCGGATTGGCAAAGCGAGGGCTGCATTTCTACAGTTGAAAAATATCTGGAACTCCAAACAACTTTCAAACAAAACCAAAATCAGGATCTTCAATACAAATGTCAAGACAGTTCTACTGTATGGAGCGGAAACATGGAGAACTACCAAAGCCATCATCCAGAGGATACAAGTGTTTATTAACAGTTGTCTACGCAAAATACTTCGGATTCGTTGGCCAGACACCATCAGCAACAACGTACTGTGGAAGAGAACAAACCAGATTCCAGTGGAGGAGGAAATCAGGAAGAAGCGGTGGAAGTGGATAGGACATACACTACGAAAAGCACCCAACTGCGTCACAAGACAAGCCCTCACATGGAACCCTGAAGGCAAAAGGAAAAGAGGAAGGCCAAGGAACACATTACGCCGAGAAATAGAGAAAGATATGAGAGGAATGAACAAACATTGGACAGAACTGGAGAGGGAAGCCCAGGACAGAGTTGGTTGGAGAAAACTGGTGGGCGGCCTATGCTCCATTGGGGGTAACAGGCGAAAGTAAGTAAGTAAGTATTATTTAACTCAGATAATGTCGATGAAAATTTACTACTGATTATCAATTGTTGAACTAGATATTTTTTTCATAAGGTAAAAAAAAATTTAGTTTTAAATACAAATGAATATTTATTGTACACAATGAACAATTGGTCATATTGGGAAAAAAAAAGAATTGTTGACTTTCAACTGAAAATTTTTAAATTAATAAAATCAATTCACCACATGTCTTATAAAGGTCAACGAGAAGTTTTGTGATTTTAAAAATAACGAAAAATTTATTAGAATTAATGTATGTTGAAGAATTATATGAAGATTAATTTAATTTTTTTCTGTTAACTTGTTAACGACAGCTACATTAAACACTCATTAAACACTCAGTAAACGTTTATCCTTCTCGATTATCCGACGACGAGTTTACCATAAAGTAACCTTAGTATACTGTTCCAGTTCATAAATAATTATATAGACTCATACAATCATCTTTATTTTATTTATGAAGATTAAATGAAGATCAAGAATTTCTTTGCAAATTTCTTTTCAAAATCAGAATTCTAGTTGTTAATGAATGAGTGATGATAGGCAAGATAAAATGCATCAGTGATATATTACAACATATGGAATGTATCACAGTTGATAGTCTATATGTTCACTAATTTCTAATTATTTTTATTGAAATGGAAAGAAAACTGTTGGGGACATTAGATCCCCCAGAACTCACTTGATAAATTTCCTAATATTGGACCATATGTTTTTGAGTATGGGCTGATCAGTTGACCTTGAGATTACATATCCCACCAGGAAAATCCTTTGCTGTTATTGGTTGATGTATTATTTTAGTACGCCATTTTTGTGGCTCTCTGAATTAAGTTTCTATCATGTGTAAATAAACTCTATTTGTGTGCTTGTCAACCTTGATTTTCTAATGCCGTATCAAGACATCTTCCTCTACTTAGTGGGGCTTTGAGACGCTCGGATTAGAGTTGCCTATCGTGTCACTGGATCATTTTACTTCACTCTCGTTTATCGACTAAAGTGAACTCGTAATAGCATTCAAGCATATCAACTGATGAGCATAGCAAAAACAATTTGAAGAAACCATGCAAACATATGCACCAGATAGATCAAGAAACTGTAATTATCTATAAGTCTCGATTATTTAAACATTTTGATATTCAAAAAACAGTAATAGAGACCTAGATAACGAGTGAACTGATTAAGTTTAACAAAGAAAATAAAAATAAAAAAACGAATTGGTCTAACGAAATCATGAGAAGAGTTTAAATATATAAAAATAAACTAAAATGTATTAAGAAATATATATATATCTAATTCATAATTAGTGAGAACACATAGAGGTCGAAATAAATTAATGCAAAAATTAATTATGTCAAACTTAATACTCTAGAATTAATTTTAATAAAGATTAGTG